ATGCTTTTAAGGCATTTACCAACTTTCAGTTTCCTGTTCTTGGTTCCCCTCTAGCCTGTAAGCTTCCTAAAGATAAGGAACTATGTTTATTGCAGTAATAAGATTGTATTTTCCCTAAATTGGAGTTTAATGAACGTTTGGACTATTCTTAATGAATATACCAGCAAGGTAAGAACCTTGAGAGTGATTTTGGAGTAAGCTGTCCTTGCACCAATTCTGACTATTCAAACATTGGCTTATGTCCTGGGCTTCTTTTCATTGGAATGAACCTTGTAAAATCTTAGTACGTGTCCTTTTCACAAAAGAGATATTTATATGGCTTTAAATCCATCATGGTTTTCTAAATCTATCATCAAGTTTGGCAGTAGACACATTTTTTTGGCTTAATAAGGCTAAATTTTTATTAAAATTTACTCTCTGCAAAGGCTTTATTCCAAAAAAAAAAAAAATCAAATCATTTGCTTTGAATAAGCAATTTAATCAAAGTAGAAGATAATAACGTATACTTTGCAAGTAAAGTAGGAATAGGAGTTACACCCATGAATGGGAGAGAAGCTCAGTTTTATTAGTGACTTCTATTTCTATTTTGAGCTATTATCATAAATTGACTTACAAACAAACTTAGCACTGGATGTTGTATGTAAGTGGTGAATCACTAAATTCTACACCTGAAACTAATATTACACAGTATGTTAACTGGTATTTAAATAAAAACTTGGAAAGAAAAAAAAAGAAAATAAATAATGTGGACTAAACCTTAAAAAAGAAAAGTTTTAATGGGCCCATGCCACTATTAGGAATGCAAACAGTTAAAATTCAGAAGTATAAGAAATCACTGAGAAATGGAATTTTTGGATAATTAAGTATGCTGATTTAAAGGAGCTTCAAATTTATGAAGTGTGAACTAGTTACCTAAATTTTTCACTTGTATTACAAATATTTCTAAAATGCTTTAGCACATTAATTTTTAAGTAGGGCATTATAGAAATTATATATCCTCTTTGATATGAGATCTTATAGTGCCTAAGGATCATTTTTTGAAATATGAAGTTTCTAATTATAATTGTGGGTTATGAATGAAATTATGTGACATATCTCCTGAGTCCAGGACCTACTCTGGCTACCAGCGTTTTAAGAATAATGATTTATAATGTACTTTCTGGTGATTTATCTCTTTCTCTTAAAAATTGTATACAATAAAAATAGTTTAACTTAGCTGGGGTTTGTTGGTAATTATGGTTTTAATGTGTCTGTGAAATATAAGCTCTTTTGCTGATCAATGCTAATGACCATAATGAACTACGGAACATTAGTTCAAATAAGTAAATGGTTAGAGGTTGACAGAATAACTGAAAATGTCACTTAAATTAGTGAAGTGCTCTTTCCTGTTATGATATATATCTGAGTTTGCTTTTAGCTTATAAATAAATATATATACTTATATATGGTAGTAAGGAAAATTGAAGTATTCCACAATTCTCTTAAAATATTCTACTTTTTATATAATTAATTGAAAAGTGGATACATTTCAATGAAAATAAAGCCGCCATCTCACATTTTGTGGATTTTTGTCTTGAGAAAACCCACTATTCTATGTTAGGTCAAGGTTAAAGAATTTATTGTCTTTGATGGCCCTGACCATTGGATTGCTGGCATGGTGAAAATCCATAATGCATTAATGGGTGAACTTCTCACCTATGTGATACTTCTCACAAAGAAGTAAAATGATGAGATTTATTTCTTCTGCTTTGGGGAAATGAGGCAAGGTGCAAGAGTTAAAAAGCTGTCTCCTTACCAATAAACCACAGATAAAAATGGCTGGTTTGAGTCTAAGTCCTAAGCACATGAGAATACTTACTGAAGCTTTTTTTTTTTTTTTTTTTTTTTTTTTTGTAAATGAAAGAGCATATATAGGGAAATTTTAACTTTGGTGTAAGCGTGCTAATATTGCTGACAGAACTATATCTTTGTGATAATTAGCTATGCTCTATAAGGCTTTACCACAGCACTGTAATGACTCAGGGGACATGATTTGAACTCTGGAACTTTTGAATCCTTATAATTAAAAACTAATGGGATTCTACTTTATTCAGTGTTCTATTGTTCAGGGTACAGGTAAAACATCACAAAATATATAGTATAATATCCTGGGAATGTACTAAATTAGAAGTTCCTCAATTTTATTTGAGACTGTCACTTCTATGGTGTTTATTCTGGATATGTTCTTATTTAAACATTGAATTTTATTGAACTTTCTGATCTTAGTATTGCCAAAACATCATTCAATATAAAATTTTATTTGCAAAAATTACATAAGAAATAGTTTCCATTGTTTGCAGATACTTTAAATGTATTCCTTTATCTGAGGATTAGAGTAGTTTTTCTGAAATATTAGGAAGGAAGGAAAGAAGTTCTACCCTTGGAACATTTTGTAAATTGCTTTCCTCTTTCTGGTATAATCAGGAAAGAAACTGAGAAAAATACTCTGTGTTGAAGAGATACTAATTATGTGTAGTAGAGTTTAGAAGGGTGAATGTTGGCATAAAATGAAAGTAAAAGGAAGCATTCTAAAATTAAATACCTAAAGCTTTCAAAGGAGAACATTGTGGTCACTATCGCTAAGTGTCCTTTGGGGCAACCTTCTTTTCCTTAAACTGTGACCAGTTTCCATAGGTCTAGAAAATGTGCCTTAAGGGGCGCCAGGGTGGCGCAGTCGGTTAAGCGTCCGACTTCAGCCAGGTCACGATCTCGCGGTCCGTGAGTTCGAGCCCCGCGTCAGGCTCTGGGCTGATGGCTCAGAGCCTGGAGCCTGTTTCCGATTCTGTGTCTCCCTCTCTCTCTGCCCCTTCCCTGTTCATGCTCTGTCTCTCTCTGTCCCAAAAATAAATAAACGTTGAAAAAAAAAAAAAAGAAAAAAAAAAGAAAATGTGCCTTAGAAGCAGGATTTCCTGAGCCATATTTTGAGACTCTGGAAAACCTTCTGCCTCTGTTGCTAGTTGGGTTTGACCATGTTAATCTGTTTAATTTTGATTAGGAACAATAAACGTAAATATGATTTTATACACTACATAGTTTTTAAAAAACTCTTTGACAAGACCATAAAATAATGTCTTTTTGAATTCTGTCAAGTTAGATTGGTGAGACAGCTTTGTTAGGATTTTTCTATTCACCAAATTGGATTTAGAAAGAGATTTGTCATCCTAATAGGTTAAATGAGGGCAAAATCTGGTCTTAAGTGGTATTCTATTATGACATTGAATAAAATATCCTAAATTCATATAGGAGGCATGCTATTTGCTTCCTCATTAAACACAAAAGAGTGACTATAATCCATATAAATTTAATTAATAACTTCCTTTTAAAAATACATTTATAAACTATTTATGAAAAATAGAATTATTTACTTTTCCTTGGAAAACTTGCTTAAAAATAAGAGGACCAGCTTATTAAAAATTAATGAAGTGTTGGGTTAATAACAGTTATTTATTTTTTATTTGAAGAAAACTTCTTTTAAAAACACTTCATGGAGAATTTATATCCAGGTTGTGAGGATGGGCTTGTCTCATGTAAATAGGGGATACCTAGAAAAGCACTGCTCAATGCATAGATTCCTTTTCATTCTGTTTCATTCTTAAAATTATTCAGCTTTTAAAGACATATCATGACTGTTTAAGATTATCCCTGTAATGAGAAATCACAGCATGCATCTTGAAAAATGGTTCTACTTCATCTTTTCTCATTCATCTCCTAGTGCAAATTATAAATGCATGAGTGCAATGTATGGCTATTCAGGTCAAATTCTCTTTCAGGACTGATGTTCCTGTTATGCAGTTTATCCATCTATTAACATCCTGAAATGTCAAAATCTTCATTTTTTTTTTAAGAGTGGAATGTCAGTTTCTTTTTTTTTTTTTTACTTAGAGCAATTTACCCAGGAAAAAAGAGATTTGACAGTTGCAGCCATTGGGGCAAAGACTGGCTGAAAGGAGTAAATGTTCAAATAAGTATCAGAGTTCCCACAGTTTGTGTATTTCTAGGACAATGCACGAGGTAAAATGGAAGTGCAGATAAAAAATATCCATGTATGTGTATAAAACATCTGATTCCCAAATTTCAGTTTTGAGAAATATTTCTTCATTCCTGTAAACACTTTATTTCAAACTCTGAAGGGACTTTTGTGTTCTGACCTGATGTATCATTGATATTGCATGAAGGTAGAGAAGTTTTCAATTAACTATTGTTTACATCTAAATATCTAATATAAACTGTGATTAAATGTTTTTCCCTGATAATTAGAATTTTATTTATTGTCAGATTAGCAATAAGGAAACCAAGGATATTATGTATATGGAAAATAGGTTGGATAGAAAACAAATATTATAGATACTAGTAATAATAGAAAATATATGATATATTCTATAAGAACTTAATTGTAGTATATAAAATGCATAATGTATACAACATCGATCTTCCCTTTAAAACAGTTCAAACGAATGTGTTAATTAACTTAATTGTGGTAATCATTTCACAATGTACATATCAGATTGTACACCTTAAAAATAAAAATTTGGTGAGTAGTATTTAGATCAGTGCTGGACTACACAAGCTACATTTTCATATTGGCAGTCAAATCTAAACAAAATGCTCCCCCTCAAATCTCTGAAAATTCTCCTTTTGTGAGGAAAGGGTTTGGGATAGCTGTTTTTCTTTTCCATTTCAAAAATGAGTTGGACCTGAGAAATGATTTGTTTGTTATCCCTACTCCATATGGATTGAAAATACCTTCCAACATGCCCATGTTGTAGAATCCAATCAAGTCTATGCAGTCCTGTAAGGTCTGTGAAGCTGAGCCTCTGTTCCTTTCTTTTATTTTAATTCTCTCGTTAGACTCTGCTGACTGAGAAGGTCTGCCAGTTTTAGAGTTTCCCCTCTAAAAGCAGTGTAAGGAGCATGGAAGGTAGCAGGTTATTTTGGTAGCTTGTTTTCCTTGGAGTGAGTGAGTGAGTGCCTGTGTGTGTGTGTGTGTGTGTGTGTGTGTGTGTGCGTGTGTGTGTGTATTAGGGTGGAAATCGGGCTCATTATGCCTTTCAGTTTATTCGTTTGTTGGTCCCCTGTCAACCTGCCAGCCCTCTCTGTGGGATAACTGCCCTTTGTATAATAATCTGCCAACATTCATGGTGGTTGCATTCACTGTACCCATTCTACTGTGGAACTCCATTACAACTGGGGTTTGAATGCAAAGCTTCATGATATCTGGATATAAACAGTGTGCTGAGCCACAAAGGCATTCTTTGTATTTCTTAGTCTTCTTATAATCCCTAAAAAAATAGCTTTGAAGACAGGATTTTCTGGAAATGGGGAGGCAAATACACGCAAGTTACCCACTGTTCCATACTTTCATAATGTGATGTGTTGAGGGAGGAGGGAAGTTCCTAGTTTTAAAACCTGATTCATTTGTTAGGCTAAAGTGGGCTACATTTGAGGCCAATTTCCTACCTGCGGAGGTGTGGGTGAATTGGCCTTTGTTTTCCTGCAGTTACCTTCCTTGGCAGGTGGCCACATTGATTATTCTTGGCTTCTGCTTTAGAAGTGCCTCTCTGATCCTTGTAATCTCCTGCTTTGTCCACCGCAGTCCTTTAGAATTCTTACCCCTGAACTGCATTCTCAAAGGAAGAGGTGCCTTATGGTTATATGGTTACCTCCTTTGAGTCTCTTTGGTTGATTGTCTCCTCTGTGGATGACTGAGGTGCTTTGGAGAATAAAAAAAAAAAGACAGAATCTTCAGCAGATAAGTGACAATTACAAATTAAACGGGCTTGGTTTCCTTCCCTCCACACCCTCACCCATTACTTTAGAGACAGAATTAAAACCCTGAGTTACGAAGGAAAGTAAGACAATCGGGATGTTACAGCAAGCTAATGAAATACTATGCCTCTGACTTTTATCATTCCCGGGCCCTCCTAGGGAATTTGCAGAGGCTTTGTGAAATTCCAGGTACTTTCTTCCTTTTTTCCTCTTTTCTGTTTTGTCGAAATTTTGACTTAGATGGAAATGGTGCATTCATTTGTTCTGTACAAAAAAATCTGTGTAAGCTGATACTTGAATGAACACATTAATGTATTGAGCACATGCCTAGTACTCTGCTTCACATGTGTTTCCTCATTTAATCAACTTAAGGTGTGACCCTGACAGTGCTTCCTTGGAGATTCTTTGTTGTTGTTGTTGTTGTTGTTTTTAAAGACACATAAGTCTATTCATATTATTGTACCTTGGTTGTTTATGCAGAGCATTGACCTGCATAAATACCTAAGAAAACCCTTATTTAAACACATGCATACACTAAAAAGATAGCCATGTCTACTGATATTTTCATAAATGTAGATAGATACAAGGCAGGTCCTAGGTCTTTTAGCTACTGTAATTAAAAGAGGGGCTCCTGAATGGTTTGGTCTGTTAAGTGTCTGGCTCTTGATTTTGGCTTAGGTCATGATCTCACAGCTGTGGGATCGAGCCTCACATCAGGCTCCATGCTGAGCATGAAGCCTACTTAAGGTTCTCTCTCACTCTCCCCCACTTGCACGTGCCTTCTCTCTCTAAAAGAAAATATATCATGATCTCTCTAACACTGAGTTGTTTTGAAAGCTTTCTGCCCAACATGGGGCTTAGCCAGCCAAGTGCCCCTTAACATTGAGTTTTAATTCATCTTCTGAGTAGTACTTCAAGACCTCCATGCAATGCAGCATACGCCTTTCTGTTCATTATGTTTGTAGGTGATTCTCAAAATCATCATGCCTCTGATTCACTGGTATTTGTGTGTGTGTGTGTGTGTGTGTGTGTGTGTGTGTGTGAAACAGAGAAGAGATTGACTGGATATATCAGGTACTGTTGTGGCACAGAAATTTGTATGTAAGTAGGCAGTTTGGTTTTCATACAAGAAGTTCAGAAACCATAGCGGAAGGACACTGAGGAAGATTGTCATGTGTGGTATCTAATGTTCTAAATCATTCTCTATGCAGCTCTGTTCATCAACTTGGCTGATTTAACTATGTATTTCTAAATTTGATCACCGGAAGAACACTGTATGTATACACACACACACACAACTTTTGTATATATTTTTAAATATTGTACAGGTAGCACAATATATTTTCTATTCATCATAAAAACAATTGAATAACTACTAAGTGAAAGTCAGTGTAATAAACTATAATGGGTATTTTACATGAATGTAAATGCCTTACTCTAGTCTTAGGAATTTTAGGTAAGCTAAAAGAATGTAACAGTATTATGAAAGTGTATTTTACATGAAATCTTACCAAGTAATACTGTTTCCCCATGCCAGCAAACTTGACTCATGATCATTCCATGGGTCACACAGGCACTACTGTGATGTGATTAGATTCCTAATCTCTGGCACTGTTCTCATGACTGAGCACTGATGGTAGTATTAGGGAGATTTAAACATTCTCTTCGTAGGCCCACCAATATAGTATTTAAATGCTTTTCTGTCAGACTGACTCCCAACAGTGATTGATCCAAACTTACGCTTCATTCTAGCCTTTGCTCAGGACACTTCATTTCTCAGTACTTCCTATTAAACAATTATAAGAATAGTTGTAACTCATAGATATTTATTTTGAGACTTGGTGAAAACATGTGCACAAGCCCTTAGTACAGCGCATCATAAATACTCAGCCTTCCATCAGTCTTTTTTTTTTTTTTAATTTTTTTTTTTAACATTTATTTATTTTTGAGACAGAGAGAGACAGAGCATGAACGGGGGGGAGGGCCAGAGAGAGAGGGAGACACAGAATCTGAAGCAGGCTCCAGGCTCTGAGCTGTCAGCACAGAGCCTGATGCGGGGCTCGAACTCACGGACCGTGAGATCGTGACCTGAGCGAAGTCGGACGCTCAACCGACTGAGCCACCCAGGCGCCCCAACCTTCCATCAGTCTTTAGGTGATCAGGAGTGTCAAGGAAACCTAGACACTCTACAGACTTGTTGATTGTGGGTCTCAGCACAGTTTTGTTTAACTTAGATGTTTGTTAGGCTCAACAATGCAGTTAGATCTGTTTCTTTTATACTAAAGGAGATCTGAGAGATTTTTAAGTAAACACCCATGACACCATCTTTCATTTCAGTAACTGAGGAAAATGTATACAGAATAATGAATGAGCTGGTATTAGATTGATTTATTTGATTCAGATATAAAATACATACCTTCTAGCCTCACTGTACTTTTGATGATTAAGTTATGGTGCCCCAACTCACAGAGGTTGAATTCATTGTTATTGAATAGCATCCATTTGATTATCATTTACACCACGTAAGAGGTTTTTCGTGTATTTTAAATATTACTGGGAATGTGAACTTTCTTTTATACTACCTTTAAAAAATATTTTTTTCTTTTGAATTTGTTCTAGTGAGAACATATAGCTACACAGATATGTAAATAGTCTTATGACTAAAATTGTCTTGCCCTCTGTATGTTAGTATGAATTGGCAGAGATGGTTCCATAGTTTGGAATTGGTTCTGTATGATGATGGAGCCCAGGGGGACAATCTCGGATTTCTAGGTCCTTGGGTTTGTGAAGCTCAGGTTTTTTTGGAACCCGTCTGCTGCCAGCTGGCTTATTCTCAGAGGAGGCACTCTGGCAGGAACTCTTCAGGCAGATAGAAGCCGTCAGTTCGCTCAAATAACTGAAAAACAACATTATTGGAATACTTGTTTGGGATTTCTTTTTTTCTACTGGCCGTGGCTGCCATGTAAAGAGGAGCGTGAGATGGGGTGGGGTATCTGACTCGGCCTGTTCTGCACTTCCTTAAGTTCTCCATCTGAAGATGAAGTGCTTTACTTTCACACTGTGATGTGGTGATTAGGCTTGTATTTTAGACAGGACATGCATCAGAGCCATCATCACTCAGATTCAAACTAAATTGGACATTCTGCTCTAGGGAATAATTCTGCTCTACTCACATCTGACTGCTTGCTGTTCACCAGAGGGTAGCCCGACTAGCTCTATTAATCCTCATTTGAAAGTCCAGTCCAAAAAATCACCTTCTCGGTAAATCCTTTCTCACCTTCCTCATTCCCACCATATCTTCCATGCTTGTCTTTGTTATAGCAATTAACAACTTCTAATTGTTTTTGTCTCACTTTTGGGGGGCAAGGAGAGTGGGATGGGCATTTATTTCCATACTGTCTCTTTCTGTATAGCTTTATTTTTTTGAAATCCCCAGTTTAAGGTCAGGCACATACTAAGTGCTTAATAAAAGCAGAATGAGTTAATGTGTCATTTGGCTACCTCTTTGTATTGTAGACTTAAATATGGTGTCACTGGTGGTGACTGAACAATATTGCTTTTGTCCAGTTTGACAAAATGCAATATATACCAGTTCATCTGTCTTACCTTATTTATCTTGCTCTGTCTGGAATATTACTATTCGTCTGGAGAATTATGCTGAACTTTCTCCTTTAAAGACTTTTTTATGAAGTTGTTTTTCACTAGTATTTAGCAACAGAAGTGGTAATAAATAATGATACATCAGGAGCCAAAGGACTTTGTTTGTTTGTTGTTGTTGTTGTTTTTCAACGTTTTTATTTTATTTTTGGGACAGAGAGAGACAGAGCATGAACGGGGGAGGGGCAGAGAGAGAGGGAGACACAGAATCGGAAACAGGCTCCAGGCTCTAGCCATCAGCCCAGAGCCTGACGCGGGGCTCGAACTCAGGGACTGCGAGATCGTGACCTGGCTGAAGTCGGCCGCTTAACCGACTGCGCCACCCAGGCGCCCCTGTTTGTTGTTTTTTATAGGGTTTTTTTTTTCCTCCTTTGAATTGTGTCTGTGTGCATGGGGGTAGGGTGGGGTATATGATGCTGGGAGTTATATTAGTTTGAGGAACCATAGTAACTTTGAGGCCAGAAATGGATTTAATAACAATTCTTTTAAAATAGTTTGCTTTCAATGCACTCTCTGGGATGTAACTTTGTCAAAATAACATTGATATTTTTAAGATGTATGTATATTTTGTCTTGTTTGGTATAATGAGTGGGGTGTGGGTCTTTTGTTCTTGTTTTATGTAAAACTATTTTATTAAGTATATAACCTATGGAAATCAATGTAATTTTGAGGAATAGCTATATTTCATATTTTCAAAACTATTAATCCATGGAGATATTTGTTAACATGGGAATATTCATATTTTTATTTGGGTAAATTTTATTTGAATAATTATTACTATAGGAATTTATGAATTCTTAGGAAACAGCATGCAGGTGTATCAAGTTAAAGTATAAAACTCCAGCCCCTCCTGTTGCCCATAAGTAAATAAGGTAAATGATTTACTATGTATTTTTCTCTGTATGTACTGTGTCCTATATGGGATTGTGTATTTATAAATGAGATATTTCTGTGCATAAATATGGCATCTACATATAAAGCACATAAAATATTCATTTAAGAATTAAAACACAGTTGTTATACAGAATGTTCCCTCAGATGTTTTTGTCATTTCAAAACTTATCTTAGAAATATTCCTGTTAGTGTATGTAGGTTTCTTTTATCAGTTTTATAGTAGTCTTTTATAAACAAGATCCACAATTTAGTTATTCAGTCACTTATAGTTGGAGTTCTGGGTTGGTTTAAGTTTTTTCCTACTTTGAATATAAATACGGCAGACATCATGGTCATACCTATTGGTGTCTTGGTGTGATTATTTTGGGAGAGTATAATTGTAAAAGTGGAATTATAGGGGGAATTATGAAATAAATAGTGTTTTGCTAAACATTGCAAACCACTCTAAAATGGAGGTTTTTCTTATACATGCTTATTTTAAAACTAGGATCTTGGTATTTTAGGGCAAATACTTTTATTTCTGATTATAAAATAATGAGTATTCATTGTAGAAGTTTTAGAATTATGAAATGTTAAAGAATAAAAAAAAAGGGTTTATATGCCTACCATCTAGAGGCAAGCATTGTTTTCATTGTGGTATGTTTACTTCCAATCTGTATTTCCCTATGCATAATTTTTACTCTGTTGATAGCTCACAATTTTATCTTTTAATTTCCTATTTGACATTATAATGTAGGCATTTATACCTGCATCATTAGAAACATTGAAACACCAATATGCTGATTATCCTATTTATCATATAGCACTACTATGATACTTCATGTCTTTATTTTGATACTTAATAGGTCTCCATTTTTAGCAATCTTGAATAATAAGTATCTTTCACGTAAAGTTTTCTCTGTATTAATTAGTCTCTTAAGTCATAGAAGTTATATAAATATTGGGTTAAATAGTAGTCATATTATAATAGATTGATGCTCTTTGCCAAATTATTTCCCACATAGATTGTACCAATTGCATTCCCTACTGTAGGATTAAATATGCCTATTACAGCATTCCCACGCTGCTGGTAAAGGGTTTTTATGATGCTTGAAGGGATACAATCCATTTCACTTCTTGGAGTCCCAGGGTATTATTTCTTATTTGTTATAGGCACTTTATAGATTTGGCTTAAAGTTAAAATTTGGGCCAAACCTCTGGAGCCTGTCAGTTGACCAAAATTATTAATTCATGACTATTTACTTATTGTGTAGCTTCCCTTGCAATATCGGGATAAACAATGATAAACTATTGAATTACATAAATATTTAATAGTGATAATGAAAACTTACACTCTATCTCTAGAGAAATGTCATGTATATGTAAAGTTTCCTTTCTAATTTGTATGTTTCTGAGTGATCCCGGAGGAGAATGTCTTGGGCATCCATACCTGACATACCCCACATAGCTCAGGGTGGGGAAAAAAGGTATCACCGTCTCCTTGGTGGCCATTTTCTCCTTCATATTTCTCTTCTTTTTGTGATAAGCCATATTCTTTTGAGATTCTTGTCTCTGGGCTTTACCACCTTCTTCCTAATTGCTGAAATGATGAATCTAGTCATTTTTTTCACTCAGGAAATCTTCAAGGGTCAGTCTCATCAAGTCCTTAACCTTGTTTACAGTAACTTCAAACAGCTGTGATTTTAACACGTCTCAATTTTTTCTTTAAATGTTTGTTTATTTTGAGAGAGAGAGAGTGAGAGAGATCGTGTGCGAGCAGGGAAGGGGCAGAGAGAGAGGGACAAAGAGAATCCCAAGCAGGCGCCATGCTGTCCGTGCAGAGCCTGATCAATCCAAGGAACCATTAGCTCACAACCTGAGCCGAAATCAAGAGTCCAGTGCTTAACTGACTGAGCTACCCAGGTGCCCCTTAATACCTCTCAGTTTTGAGGCTTAACCATTTCTTGTTACTTTACCCCTCTGCTGTGATTATCCTATATCTTATCATCACCATATATTTATTTCAACTTTCATAACCCCAAAAATTAGACCTAACCTTTCTGACTAGTCTCCTTTCCTCTCCTCCCCTTCACCCCTCCTGTCTACTCCCCTCCCCTCCCCTCATAGCATCAATATGTTTAATTCATTGATATTTTTTTCCTTATCTATGTTAGATCCCATATCATCATTTTGCTAATAGCCTTGCAACTACACTCAAAAGCCTTGCTCCTTCTCTCTCTATCATACCAGCCTGGCAAGATGTCCTACTATGTGTCATAAGTGATATGTTGGGAGGACCCTGGCCAGGTCTTTGCTCTCTTGCTGACTAGTATTATAACCTTGGCAAGTTACTTCACTAA